CTTTTGGGGGCGGGCAAACGGCGCTTTCGAAACGCCTAAAGAGTGACATGCACCGGCTTTGGCAGGCAAGGCTGCGGTGCAGGCATGTGCAGCCAAAGGTCCCGGGAAGGGCTGTGGAGCCTGGCAAACGGCCCTGCCGGCTGCCGAGAGGCTTTTGGGGGCGGGCAAACGGCGCTTTCGAAACGCCTAAAGAGTGACATGCACCGGCTTTGGCAAACGCCTAAAGAGTGAGGCTGCGGTGCAGGCATGCAGCATGCGGCCAAAGTCGTTGGTGATGGCTTCTTGCTGCTCTGTCCCAGGCGCCGCCCCGCTTAGGCCATGGCTAAGCAGGGGGCGGCGGACATAATTTACATAATTTACGTAGCTAAGTTACTTTGCTACTTCTATTGGTTTGTACGGAGCATGCTGGGTTCTGCTTTTAGCCCATCTCGAGGCAATAGTTGCTTGCAGATTAGACTACGCGTGGCATCCACTTTTTCAGCCTTCATAATTTTTGATAGATTTTTTCCCTACTACCCAAGCAGCTTTTGTTAGGGCATGCGGTGTCTTCCAGTGTTGCATTGCGTGTCCACATTTGTTTCAAGTCCAGTTCTTCGTGGACCCTTGTCCATTACTTCTCTTTGGTCATGACGCACAGCTTGCTTCGAAGAGCTTGAACTTTCCTCGCTGAAGTATAAACCCTCCAAGATTCTAGCACGCCCCACGGCTTCATCACCTTTCTTCCTTTTCTTTTTTGTTTCTAATAACGATGGCTCCAACCTACTAGCGATGGCCTCCAACCAAAAGGAAACCCCACATACTGGTTGTTTCTCTCCTAAGTTGATGCTGTATTCTTTTTTGCCTTTTTCATCAGATTTCAAGCTGTTTGTAAGCTGAATTCTGTAGAACAAGTGGGCCGACATACCAGTGGACGAGTCTTGCTACGTCAATGGCTGGAACCGTAGAAGCCGAAAGAGTCGACAGGGCAGGCAGCCGTGGATTGCGCAGAAGCTGTCACCTATGCCAAGGCTTAAGGTGTTCCATCCTATTTCTACTCATCCGCAGACCATACTGCGTAAATGGCGCTATTATGATCCATGGAATTGAATTTCTTGGAAGGATAGTCACGGATAGTCATCGGCATCATCATTAGTAGTCACTGGCATCATGTCCTCACCCGGTTGATTGAATATCCAGCCAGGAAGGAATACCTCCATGCTGGCGATCATGACCATACCTGAGAAACCTGCAGGTGCAAGCGCTAGCGTCGCTTAGAACCATCTGACACATCTGCCGAGCCGATCCAGTGGCCCAAGAGCCGAAGAACCCGAAGCCCATTAGTTCTTTTTGTTCAACGTACTAGCGATGACCTCCACCCTACTAGCGATGGCCTCCAACCTAGTAGCATTGTTTTTGCGCACTAGCTTTTGTGTGCTTCTTGTTACTAGTAGCTACTTGCTCCTAGTAGCACGGCCCCTAGTAGCTTCTTGTTACTGGGAGTTTTGCTTTTGCTGTCCTCATCGCCTGGTGCCACGCTGTTGCGCCTAGAAGGACCTAGCATGTGGCACGCTCTGTGGCAAGATTCGTCTGCGATGTAGCTGTTGGTGGTGATGGATGATTGGTGATGAAGAACGCTACTAGTAGCTCTTGGCATTACTACTAGTAACTATCGCTCGTTGCGGACGCTCACCGTGAAACGGTGTCCGCTTTGTGCGAGACACACAGGTCTATGCACACCACGAAAGGACCCCAAACATGCACACCAATCAGGCCACAAGGGGGACCTGCCAGGATGCGAGGGTTCGCCCCGCACCCTGTGAAAAGAGCCACGCAATTTGTACACGTTCGCTATCAGACAAAAAGGGGATCGATCCTACGATGCACCCTTGAGGGAGTACACGTCCACAGCATCTCGGCTTTGTTGTATGGAAAACACCAGGGTGAACTTGGACAGCCTCGTCATGTTGCAGACACTGCAAAGCTTCACGAATGATACGGTAAAGATCCAGGTAGGTCGTGAGTTCAGGATCTTTGGCAATGCGGTGTCCTCGACTGTGAAAAATCACAGCCAGCTCATTGAAGGAAAAAGATTGTTCATCATCAGCAAGCCATCGCAGACCTCTGAAAAAGTTCAAACACTCATTCCAGTCTTGGATCTGTCCAGTCCACCTTGCAGGTGGGGCATGCTCATGCGGCACTTTGGGAACCCAGGGAAAAAGCATCCTTGGTGATCCCCACAGCCACTGCGGGAAACGTCTTTGTGCTGATGCAAGGGTGACTTCATCAGGAGGTTTATTTTCGTCAATCTCAACCAACCGATCCGGTTGATGTGTTGGCAGCAATTCATGGAGGTTGATGAGCCACTGTTGATGGTGGATCAGCGCACCACGCACTTTGCTTTGCACCTCTGTGACAACGGGTGCTGATTGATTGGCAAGTTCTTTAGCTGCTGCATCAGCTAGTCTGTTATTTTGAATGCGCTCCAACGTTGTGTGTTTGCAAGATGCTAACTCCTCGGTCAGAATCTCAACTGGTATGCCCTCAAAACAATGGGCGGGGATCCACCGGATCTTGAAGGGGCAAGTACATTGGGTTCTCCTCAGTTCGACGACCTGATGGAGGAAACCCCACCAGTTTGCACAAGCCCAATTGTCATCGGGAAAGCCACCCATGAAAAGCTCATGAGCTTGGTCAACCACACTGCGACAATCGCAATAGATTGTAGTAGGAAATCTAGCACTAGCACACGTAAAAATCACCGCCCAAAGCTCAGCCACATAAGCTGACAAGTTCCAGTGTCGAACAACACCAGTGTAGCGAACATTCTGCTGCTCGTCGACGACAGCGAAAGCTGCACTCGCGATCCAGAATTTGTCAGCATGAATGACCGAACCGTCAGTCCAGACTCTCTCGCAATGCTGTGGATGAAACTCCGGGGCAATGTCGATTTGTCGAATGTCGGAGAACTGCAATCGCCGTTTGGCAACAAAGTTGGGATGAATAAAATGCCCCAACATTGCAAAGTTGCTTCCAAATTCATGTTGAACCGGCAGCCCCAAAAGTTCAATAACTTTGTGGCACTGCATCAAGTGCGGAAGTGACTCTTTCTCTTGCCCGCAAAACCTGCAAGTGGCTGAAGTGACCCAACCTGATGCAGCGAGGCGGTCGTTGGTAAGGGTACAACCGACTAAAATGTTCTCAAGGCGAAGACCCTTTTCAGTCGTCAGCCGCAATTGTGGGTTCTTCGTTTTCAGAAGAAAAGTTGTTTGCTGAAAATCGAAAACACCCTCCGGTTTGCAAAAGTCCTTTCGAGCTTTATGATCAATAGAGGAATAGCAAGCATTCCGAACTATATTCTGCAAGGCCCGTGTTATGGACTTGGGGGAAAGGTCAAACAAGGAAATTGGCGGTGAGCCAAGATAGGAGATGTTGATATCATCATCAACCTGTATTCCAAGCAGCTCAAATGCAGTGCGCAAGCGACAACACAGGCTGTGCGAACAATCCACATTCCAAGTTCGGCGTATTTGTGAGATCGCACATGGCGAGTTGTGGCATAGCCGGACCGTTTCCACAATCGTGAGATACGCACCTGCCAGTATCGGGTCGGTGCGATGAGGCTGAGACAAAAAGCACTGAAGCAGTTGCTTGGACCTCCACATGGGTTGTCGCACCCACAATGCTTTTGCAATCGCATTTTGGATGGACTTCACTGCTTTCTTGGGGATTTTAGAAATGTGCGCCCCGAATGTAAATTGAGGAACTATTTTGCTGCCAATGAGAAAACTACGGATTCTCTTTGGGACAGGGAGCGCCGCAATGTTATCTGTGTCTTCGAGGATCTTTTTCAGCTTGGTTTCCGAAAATGCGAAAGCCTGGCGGTCGGACGTATATATTTTTGTCCCTAACACATCAAGCTCAAGCACGATTGGGAAGGCTGGGAAATCGTTTTTGAGTTTCTTGCGGGCGGCAGTATCAGTTCCCCACATAGATGACTTAGCCTCATTGAGCTTCTGCCCACTCAACATGTCCCAAATCTTTGTGAGCTCAATGGCTTTGGACAGCAGAGCGGCTTGCTGAATTCTACACCATAAATAGGAGTCATCAACATATGCACGCGCATAAATTTCTGGAAGGTGGTCGAGGAGGTGACACCACA